TTTTGTATGTATGTTAGCGAAATCTTCGCAGATTATAAGCGAACTTTGATGATTCTTTTTTTATTAAGTATGTTATATTTCAATGGTAGACCCAAATAAATTTGATAAAAATATTTCACGCCTAAGGGTAGCAAATAAATAACTTATTTTTTAGCAATTTGAAGTGGGTTTTTACTTTTTTTTAAAATTATTCGGTAATGCTCGAAACGTCGGTAATATAAAATAGTTTAATATTATACGCCATAAAATCCGTAAAAACTAATATAGCCATTCAGCGGGGAAACGCAGCCGGCGTTCTTGGCACGATACCGCGGGGAGTAGGACTATATGATAATTAAGTTACTAGTTTTAGTTTTTTTTTATATAATTTTAATATTGTGTACATCGATCACTAATTGGAGGACAATACCAAATTACAAGGAACACTGATTGATACATGAATATAGTTCGTACTTAGTACAACATACTAGAGACTTGTATACAGGGTTATTTTTCAATAACCGGCCAAATTTGCAGATAAGGTTCAGTAATGGTGAAATAAAATTAATTAAAAAAAATCTCAAATATTTTTATTTTTAAATTCAGGTGCATGGTAATGCATTATTTTAACTGATTTTACTGCGCACGCACACATTCGTAAGGGACGATAGGTAGGAAAAAGTTAGGAAAAATGTTGTTGCCCATAAATCATATTCAATTTGGGATAATTTGAAATAAAACATTAATAAAATAATTATTTACTTTATTGGTTGCTTCGTTTGGGCTTTTGTCTAATGACAGTAGATCAAGTGGGGGTCCAAGATTATTTGACCGGCCTTTTGTAAAACATTTTTATCATATTATATTAATAGTTTATTGCAAAAATTCCTATATCTTTTATAAGTAGCAGAAAGTATTAAATTATCAGCAGAAAGTTTAGATTTTAAATGAAGTTTGTCTCTATTTCTTATACAGCGGACGAGACCAGGTGTTATCCAAGGTTTAATTATAATACTTACGTGACAGTTTTATTGTTGATGTATTATTCATTATTGTGTATTGTAAAGAATTTATAAAGCAACTCAAGGACATATTTGCATCGTCAGAGCAATAAACAAAGTCAAAATTAATGCTACGAATGTGATTTTCAAGGTTCGTCATATGGACTTTAGTGTAGTTGCGTATGCAGTTTTTCCTAGGTAAGGCTAATTGTAATGTTAGTAAAATTGCTTGATTATCAGTAAGCGTGGAATTAGTAACTAATGTTAAAGAAGGTTAGTTTGATTTAATCACAAAATGGTCTAAACAAGAGCCGCTTTGATGTGTAGGGTGGTAATGTGTTGGTAAGAGTCCATGAAAAGAGCAAATATTTAGGTAATGTGCATGGTTATCTGTTTTCCCAGGGGTAATGTTAATATTTGCTCGTATGTCACCGGTTAGGATTATATTTTTATACGTGCTAAGTTTGTTTAAGGAATATCAAGGGACTTTAGAAATCTATCAATATTTTGTGAAGGAGCTCTGTAAATTGCGATAACAATCGTCTCGGAATTAATTCGAATGATTAAGCAATTACTATCCTGGAATGTAGGTTCTGTGACAGTTTCTTTTATATTATTACTAACATAGATTACTAAACCGTCATTTTGATTAATGTTTTTCTCGGTTTTGTGTAAAGCATAGCCATTTAGAATCGGTAGGTGGGGTGGGAGGTTTGACAGCCAACATTCTGTAGGGACAATAATATCACAGTAATATATCAGTTTTTTATTAGTGATCGATGATTGTACATAATAAAATATTGTATTTTACAATATACAAATTACAAATTTATATATATATAAATTTAATTAAATTCTTATGTTTACTTATGATAATTTAAAAGTTATCATATATAAACATAAGAAATCATTATTTGAAATTAATTTTCCAATAGAAAATTTTTAATTAAGCCCTTCAAAAAGACAAATTTACAAATTAATTAAATTTCGTTCTGACGTTGACATCGGAGTAGGGAAGGGAGAGTTGTTTGGATCCATATTCTGACCCCGTAGTTTTGCCACAGCATTGCTGTTATTTTGACGATAGATAACCATAATAATGTATTTGTATTAAATGCATACGTTAAAAAAGGAAATTTTATTAAATTAAATTTTTGCCTTAGGGATGCCATAGTTACCATGCTCAGCAGGCGCAACCGCGGTTTATTATTACAGGTAAATGGAGGATGTTTTCCACCGATTTCAAAAAGGAGCCGGTACTCAATTCGTCTGTATGTTTTTTTTATGTGTGTTACCTCATAACTTTTTACTGGGTGAACCTATTCCGATGATTCTTTTTTTATTTGAAAGCTGGTGCTTCACATGTGGTCTCATATAGATTTGATCAAGGTTTGACCAATATTATTCTTAAAAATGTATATTGAAGTCGGTTGTACAAAATTTTTATTTTAAATTATATTTACTTGTCTATTACATCATGTAGGATGGAAGAACATTTTTTCGAATCAGGTGTCCGTTTGCGAAAAATGTCTCCCCCCTCTACCAACTAAATCGCTGTTTTTGAAAATATCAAAGTATACACAATAGTAGTATATATAATGAAGTTAAAAAAAACTATCACAGCTAAGTAGGCTTAATAAGTTAACGAGTAATAGTCGACCAACCTAACTTAAAAAATGCACTTGGATTAGTAAAAATTTCGTTACAACATTTTTTTATAGGAGAGGGGGCAAACGACCATGCGGCTCAACTGATGGTAAGTGACTACCGCCGCCCATGAACAACACCAGGGGAATTGCAGATGCATTGCTGATCTTTTAAAAACGAGTAGGCTCTTTTCTTGAAGGTCCCTAAGTCATATCTGCCGGAAAAATCGCTGGTGGTAATTGATTCCACAAGGAAGTTGTACGAAGAAGAAAACTTCTTCTAAATCGCACAGTGGATGACCGCCAATCATCCAGATGGTATGGATGGTATCGCGAGCTTTGTCGCGTTGTGCGATGATGAAATTGAGCGGCTGGAATTAATCCGAACAATTCCTCAGAGCACTCCCCGTAGCAACTCCATAGAAAATAAACTAAAGCCAACTGCATTATAACTTTGTAATGTTATTGTAAACATTACTGTATATTTATTTCAACTAGAATTCTAATACTTAATTTATCTACAATATTAAAAACTATGATAATAAAAAAAAAAAACTAAAACTAGAAACTTAAATTATCATATAGTCCTACTCCCCGCGGTATCGTGCCAAGAACGCTGGCTGCGTTTCCCGCTGAATGGCTATACTTAGCCTTTGAGCGAGGAAAGAACCAGCCCTCTTATTACCAGCAGCAACGACCAGCCGCGGATGGAGTTCCTTTAGGAACTTCACCGCACGTGGACCCCACGGACCGATAGTCTCTACAGCAAATGGCACAAATATGTAGTCATCTCTCAAAGACTCATATTTGCGCCACTTATTCAGTTCAGCTGCCTCTGATACCGCCCCGGCTCTAACCGAGGTACCCCTGAGATGAGAGGCCGCCAGAGTGTCTACGCGAGTAGCATCCCACACTAGGGCTTTACCTCTCTCCCAAGGGACCAATGTCATACCGTCGGGTCTCTTGCCATCGTCTCTAAATATTCCACAAGGCTCTAAAACCGAGGGAACATTTATAGAGGCAAGAGCCCTTCGGATGACATCGTTCAAAGAACTGTGTCGTGAAAACCTACCAGCGCTTTTCTTACATGAAAGTCCGTGGAGCCCAAACTTGTCGACGCTGCTACCACAGTAAACTAGTATTGTAAACTGTAAGAAATAAACATTTTAGGAAGAAAACTACTAAGATGCATTACTACTATAGCTTTACTTTTTCTTATGCGGGATAGGCAGGGTAGATCTTTCTTACTTATTACTTTCGCTTATTTTTTAGTTGGTGGTTATTGTAGGCCTCATTCAAAGTATTCATACAATCATATAGCCTCATACAGTTTCATTTCCAGTACTGTTGGTTTACGCGGGCGACACTCAGGATAATTTTGGGCAGTAATGGCTTACGGGAAGGTTCGTTACGGTTATATATATCTTAGGATATATATAGATAGATAGTATAACTATGACCATCTTTGTAAGGATTTATCATGTGAATGATTTGATTTAGATTGCATTATTTTCAAAATTTTGAATACCACTCCCTATAATTCTGATTTTTAGCCGTTACAGCGGTCACTGCTAAATCACTTATTATGCTCATTATCTAGAAAGCCCACGTATTGTGTAGGTCAACTACGGAATCCTACCTCTACATTGTGCGTGGCCCGACACGCACTTGGCCAGTTTTTGTTTATAGGATAAGAGTGGCAAGCGATCACACAGTCCACCTGATGGTAAGTGAATGCTGTGGCTCATAGACATCTACATTTATTTCAATTAAGAAATAAAATGCAGTTGCGTTGTCATCCCTGAGTAGGTACTAATATGAAGTACATCGTTACCAGTAAAAATAGTTTCCGGTTCTCTACCCTCACCACACGAAACATAGCAGCATTAAGCTGCTATTTAACGCTGGTATTCCGTGAGAGTGAGGACCATGGTCGAGACGACACATTCGTGCCACAACCATAATTTAGCTGCAGCGGGGCTCTACCACGGATATCTGGTGAAAAGATTCACTTGCTTTTAGTATTCCAAAGACAAGGTTCACTGCGATTTTATTGATTGAGACATTATTTTTATCAGACATTCACAACGACGACGACGACGCTAGAGAATAGTAGTTTTTAACGTTTGACGCTATTCTTGCGCTGGTATTAGTTAGGGGACGGGCGTATAAGTTCTAACTAAGACGGGCCTAATTAAAAACTATAATAAAAATATCAGAAAATTAAGGTACCTACTAAAATTTAATCAGAATGCTACCCCTTAAGTATGTATATATTATTTAATAAAAGCAGTTCAACCGTATCTACATGAACGCGCGTCAAATATAGAACATCCTCCTTTTTTGAACTTAGAAACATGAAGAAAGAACTGACCTTGCGCTAACGTCGGCTGCACTCCGACCATACTTCTGCAGAATCCATCGTTCAGCCTTTGCATTTCATGTCCAGCGTATAAATAGTTCTGCAAGTGTCTCTGGTTCTGTTGCAGCCGCTCCTGCACGCTGAGATTCATCGCATCTTCTTCAGCGTTCGTCAACCCCAAGATGGCGGCGATTGTGAATGATTTTCCCGCTAAATTTGTGCCTTTACCAGTCAAATCGACGCCGAAAGCCGACTGACTGTCGCTGTCTTCAATCGTCGAGACAGGTGACGAAGATCTGTCGGCGTTTTCCGCAGTGTCGGTGTAAGGGTCCGCATTGTATTTCTCTTCACCGTCACCCAACGCCGACAATCTGTTTAAACTCTGCTGATAAAACAAATCCGTCAAATTCGACGGGTAAATAGCGTTTTGTCTCTGCTCCATCATTTCTTACATTTCACTTTTCACTAACTCTTATCCAATGACAGCACTGATGACCCTGATCATATTTTATTATTTTTAATCAGTATTTAATTTACTTGCTAGTTACAGATAATTAAGTTAAAATCTAGTTAATTTGCAGGAGTAATTTGGCACGCGTTCCACCCTAGATAGCGTTGCGGTTAATGATGAAATAGTAAAATTTTAAATTCGGCAACAGGGCGGGGCCTGTGTCAAACGATCGGTTCGGTAGGAAAAAAATGACATCGTATGAAGTGGTCAATTCGAGGTGCTCGATTGCTTCTTCATCCCTCTGAGGGGTTGATAGGAGTGTTCCTATTGGTGTATTATTGCGCATGTGCGTTAAAGGCGTGGCCAGATTTAGTAGGTGTGGTTCCGCAGTGATTTGCGGTCGGCGGAAGCCTTTGATTGAGCCAGGGTCGGCTTTGGGAAACCGTTTGTACGTTTTACTTTATGTCGAAGGAAATGAAAGGTAAAGATTCCCGAAACACTAAATTGCAAACATAATTGATGAATTGGAGTTTAAGAAACCTTAAATAAATAAGACGCATTGGTCATGAACTTTTTGGTGTTATTTTAAGAGTGTAAAGAGTTTTTTTTAAATATTGTTAGCTTTTTTAAGCTGAGTTTTTGTATGATTTATATCGTTTACCACGTAAATTTTAATATTATTATTGTATATTTTGGTTCAGAATGAAAAAGAAGACACTCTTTCGCATTGGGCTCACCTGTAGGGGTAGATATGTAGAGTAATAAATTCTGTACGTGGTATTAATTGTATAGTTGTAGCACGAATGAGTCGACTCGAGCGGGGTAGGACCACGCTCTCACAGAATACCCGCGTCAAATAGCAGATTAATGCTGATCTGTGTCGTATGGTGAGTGTAGAGAATCGGAGACCCTTTTTACTGGAAAAGAGGCATTCCATCTTAATCCTCATGGCTGACAAGGCATCTTCATTTTGCACTGCAAACGAGGATAGATGTAGATGTGTATAGGCCACAGCAACCACTTTACATCAGGTGGACGGCGGCTCGTTTGTTATCCTATAAAAAAGTAAATATTAGCAAACTATAACGTGCCCAACTAGGCAATCACCTCTGAAATAGGACTCTGTGAAATCATAACATAGATTAACCGCTACAGATTTAAACATAATTCCATTAGCTGGTAGTCCGCCCCTGTACTCCCCCTCCCCCCTGCTACCCTCACCCGCGCGGCGTGCTCTTGAAACAATTTAATAATATAATTTGGTTCAATGCGCCCGCAACGGTATTGAGTTATTAGATAATATTTAACAGATTCTTTATATTTCGTACAACCATTTTATTAAGAGCCGTAGACGCTCAGCGGATAAACGCTTGCCGTAAATGTTCGAGGTTCGATCCCCAAAAGCACCGATTAAATCTGAAAATTATTTACCATTTTGATGGCGATGAAGTAAAACACCGTGAGGAAATTCGCATATCTGAGGAATAAACATTTCAAGGAGGAGGAGGTTTTGAACTTGTGTCATATTTTATTTATTTCTATTTGAATAATATATTGTTCTCCAGACCGGATTTGGGTTATGGCAGAGACTCTTAACGGAGGCTGGCCATCTACTCGTATGCAGGATATGATTATAGTGCTCGAGTGCACTATTCCCTCGCTTGCATAGTCCGATGGGATGGCAGTCCGACTCGACCGGAGAGGGAGATCAGGCTTAGAACCAACGACTTTACGTGCTTCCCGAGGCACGAGGATAAACACCACCAACCAGGAGGTTCTAACTATTAATATTATATAATGTAACGTAATAATTTTATTTGATTGAAAAAAGTATCTTACAAAACTACAATATTGTATTAATTTAAAACAAGTAAATGGGGAAATATAAATGCCTTTATTCCTGTGGGTTGCAGGAGGGGTTATTAATTAAAACCGACGTTAGTCGTGAAAGGGTCGTAATATAATATACTATAATATAATTAGTACATACACATAACTATGAATATAAACATCTCTTTAGCAATACAAAAAACGTATATTTTTTATGGGGTAGAGCCACGCTGCAGCTATATTATGGTTATAGCACGAATGGCTCGGCTCGACGGGTAGAACTACGGTCACACAGAATACCAGCGTAAAATAGTAGCTCAATGCTGCTTTGATTCTTATGGTGAGTGTAGAGAACCGGAGACCGCCCAAGCAGCACGCAAGCTGTATACGAGCTGTAATGAATTTAGTTTTTATACTAGAGGCTGTATTTTCTAGTTGTATAAAGACTGTATAAGCACTTATACAGATCTTATAAGTAAAAAATTAGTAGTGTACAGTGTACAGTTTTATGAGTTAGTATGCTGTAGGTACAGTAGCTATACAAGCATAAAGAGGCTGTATAATCTGGGGGCACGGCAGTACCCCCGCCAAGTCGAGCTTAAAAGCGCCACGGCCGTACCATCCTTTTCTCGAAACAGTTCAGGCCATTTTAGAAACCCTATAACTTTGTTGTGGATAAAACTAGATGCCTGAATTCAGTAACCAAGCATGCATTGTATAAACACGGTATATTTCAATTCTCATTCAATTTGAACCAGTAGTTTAAGAATTATAACTAGTCAGTTTCTTAATTTTGTCACTCACTGACTGACCGATTATCAAAACTCTAAGGCACTTCTATCAGACGTAGAAGTTTCAAAATTAGAATACAAGTAGTTTTTAGTGTATAAATCAAGGGAAAACTAAAATATTTTGTAATTTTGGGCCAGTTTTCTAGATACACCAACTGCATAAATAACTTTGTAATCTTATATAAATATATTGGATTACAAAGTTACATTTGCAGTGAATGAATGAATGGAATAATAGATGTAGATAGGTACCTACCTAGATATAATTATGTTCAAAGGTAACTTGTAAAATGGTCAACGGAATGAAAAAGCATGACTGGGATATGTCTTATGAAGTTGTACCAAAATCCCGCAAAGTATTAAGTAGACTAAATTGCCTGAAAATTCGTAGTTGGTATTCAAGAAGTAGATGGTACCGGATAGGAAAAAAGTAGGACTAACTACAAAAAGAAATGGGATGCCATTAAAAACATAACTTGTAAAAAGAACCAAGTCTCGCAACTCAGTTCTTCTACCGTAAAAAGTTGTGAGATCCATGTAATACCAAGTCGGTTAATTTATTCAGTGCCTACTTAAGGGTCCTTCTGTCTCAAGTTATTACGTAATTATCAATTATGTAATTACATCTTAGTATAGTGACCATATCAATATTAAAAATCTTTTATGTTTTAAATACATAAATTGACTTGGCAATCGCACTAAACAATCTAATTTAATATAATATGTATTACTTGTGAGATACATTGTGTTTTCATGCGATGGCCAAGTCCCTACGACTGAATAAATTAACCGACTTGGTATTACATGGATCTCACAACTTTTTACGGTAGAAGAACTGATTTGCGAGACTTGGTTTTTTTTACAAGTTATGTTTTTGATGACATAGTTGTATTACAACTATTACACTACAGATATTGTCTTATAAGCGTTCTATATTAGGTTTTGAAACAAAAAAAATTTTTCGATAATTAGATTGTATTTATACACTTAATTGAATGATGGCTACATTTCATGTCCGAGTAAAAAAATATATTTAACATATTAATATTATACTGGAATACGGCTACTGGGATTTGATGGTGATAATTGGTGAATTGAAAGTGCAAAATTAAATTTACGATAAACTTGTACATGTTTTCTATCAAAAATTGCCGCGCTGACAAAATAATCAAATAATATAAGGACAAAATATTAAATACGGTAACTAAATATCGGTTGTATAGGTTAGAATAAAAAAGGGTTATGAATGTACAGTGGGGCGCAGTGATCGTTAGCCAAACTGAAAATAATGGTATAGGCTAAAACTAATGTCTAATATTCCTAAAATTAAATTTTAAAATTTTTTATGGGTCCTAAAATGGCGACAATTTGCTAAACGCCTATTAATAAAAATAATAATAATCTAACATCAGAGGAAGAATGCTGTGAATCTGTTTATTCAACCACAACAACAAGACAGGAAGACGGACGATATGCAGTCAGACTTCCAATGAAAACAAACTACGAACAAACCTTGGGCACTTCTAAACCACGGCCAGTCGCACAATTTCGGCAGTTAGAAAAACGACTGGCCAAACAGAAAACATTTTCTAAGTACGTCATACAAGAAGTTTATTGACGAATATTAACAACTCGGCCACATGAAGCCATGCACTGGACACTGAGCTTCAAGCTACTTCTTACCTCATGACAGTGTGCTAAAGCTGCACTCAACAACTACAAAATTACGCATAGTCTTCAACGCCTCTGCCAAGACAAGTACAGGACAAAGATTTGGCCTAGAATACTAAACAGTATTTCGAGGGTTATAGTCTTAGTAACTGTACTTTGTATGTTGTGGATTCTATCATGCAGCTATTGGTTTTTAATCAGTTCCATAATATAATATTTTTATTACTTAAGCTGTATAGTAATTTTTTCAACATAACATACGATTCTCTTCAGAGATACGTATAAAAGATGAGAAACCTTATCTTGGGAACAGGGTTGGATAACTTTTATTTAGATTTAACATGATTTTCTAACTGCACCAAGTAAAGTAAAGTCCTCTCATTTCTGAGAGGGTTTTAGGGCAAGGAAATGTGTGTTGGCGACTTCACATGTCTTCGAAGTATTTTTTCTTATTTCTTAGACATGCAGGTTTCCTCACGATGTTTCCCTTCACCGCCGTGCACGTGGTAAATCAGCACTTAAAATTGCAATTAACAATTTCATTATTGCCGGCGGGGATCGAACCCGGGTTGCTCGATTCAAGCTTACTTAAACAGGGCCTTATTTACCCACAGGCTAACTAGGCTGGAGCCTAGGGCGCAAGGCGCTGAGCTTGCCTATGGAAGCATCACTTACGAGTATGTACAGAATAAAAATTGGTAT